TTGTATGCCATTTTGTGGACCCGTGGCTTCGGCCATTTTCTGAAACTCTTCTTCTGTCCGACAATTTGGCGAAGGGTTCAATGCATTCTGGGGGGATCGGCCAATTCAAGTAAGATGCGTTTTCCCGGAAGGCCACAGGTCTTGGCTGTTGGGCTTTCCATGCAAGGCGAGCTCGACGCTTGGCAATCGTCAGCTGCTCATGAGGGTTGGTAGGCGATGAGAACAATTCAAATCAAGCCGAGTCGAACTGTTGCCTGGGGAAGCAAGGATCACACATGGCTTTGCCTCAGTTGCTAAAGTCTCCACAGAAACGATGCCTTTCTGCGCCGAGGAAGCTGATTTAGGTGTCGATAAAATGATTGAAAAAACTATCGCTAATCTATTGGTAGCGGAGAGCCAGTGTAACAGGTGCGATATAAAGCAACTTATTGAGGAATTATAATAGGTAACAGTTGTTTTTGCAGCCAAAATAAACTTTAGCATTGCTGGGGGTAGCCAATTTCGACTGACAATCGCACTTGACCGATAGCGATTCTGCCCGTGGTTAACTGAAGAGATGACATGGTTTTTGTCATTAATTTCGCCTCGACAGAAAATTCTAAATGCCACACATATGGACCACAATTTAGACATTGTCCATAGCTGGATTCGAGCCATCGACCTGCTGGATGAATGGAGCAAGCAAATTTTATCCTTTGTTTGTAAGTAGGGTTTAGAGATTACCGGTAAATCAGATAAATAAGATGTATTAATCCTATTTTATTTAAAATAGTTTAATTTTTCCGCAATGCTACGAGTAGAACTGACTCCTTCATCTAATTTCACACGGCCTTGTTTCTCAAAAGATATTCTCATACAGGTTGGGCTGGATTGCAGTTTCGACCTCGCCTAGGTCTCATGAACACCCAAGTCGGACTCGAAACATGACATCGCAGCTTATAATCTCGACATGCTAACCACTACGCCACGAGTGTCCTTGGGTCACAGGACAGGTGTGAATTTCGACGAAGGCCAGGGGTTTTTCCCATATCACATTCTGTGGTGGGATTTCTGATGAAGCAAAGTTATGTTTGCTATAGCATTTGACTAAATTACTTATATTTCCTCTGAAACTAGGGTTTTGAGGCTGAAAGCCCTTCAAGCATTTCAATCAGATGGTAGCCTAGGTGACAGCTTTAAGTTTACAAGTTACAGGGCCATCTATAAATTGTGGATAAGAACAGTACTCATCTTAGGTGATCCTACCCGTACTGTCCTTGGTCTCAGTCTACTTAAATAGGTAGCAAGTAGGTTTTGGGACTATTAAAAAATCCATAATATGAAAGTTAGTCATCTAATATTGTAGATGATGATGGCGACTTATGGTTGAATTTTTTCATTATTCATTGAGTAGCACTCACAATGTAATTAGATTTTACAATTTTCTGCTACCCAAAAGCCTTTCTTACCCATGGAGGGGTTTCAAAGTGAAATTCACTGCTATTCTTGAGTCTACTCATTTCACTGTTATTAAATTCAACTATCATACTGACCCTATAATGTACTAAATTAGCTGACTAGCGCTCATATTCAAGATTTACTAATAGCCCCTAGACCTACTCACAATTTAATTGAGTAGGCAGATTATACTTAAGGAAGTATGTGTAGAATCAGAGGTTCATATAATCTAAGATGAAATTCAATGGTATCGTTGAGTCTACTCATTTTACTATTGATAAATTCAACTATCATACTGACGTTATTATGAACGACATTAGCTGACTAGCGCTCATGTTCAAGATTTACTAATAACCCCTAGACCTACTCACTACTTAATTGAGTGGGCCGATTATAATTAAGGAAATATGCGTAGAATCAGAGGTTCATATAATCTAAGATGACTAAAATTTCCTACGTGAGGTTAACACAAGAAATTCAACTACCAATCCTTCATCACCTTAAATAAAATAGAGTGAACCCATCACATATGTCTGTTCTACTGACGGTCTCGAATGCTAACTTGCAAATGTAAAATTTCCTAGTCGGGTCTACTTAAATAATGATAAACGAAGAATTTACCACAACCATCCCCGCAGAGGCAGACAAGCTCGCTGCTAAATTTAGGATAAATGAAATGCCGAGAATAATTTGTGGTTATAAAATTTGTATACATCAGCTTTCAGGTTGGATCTCACTTAGCGGTCCATTTCAAACTAGCTTCTACTAGCTGAGGCGGGCACAGCAACAACGGACCCTCTTTCTTCGCCACAGCATAGACCCATCTTTCGGTCTGTATTTCACTAGCAGAGTTTTAAGTTAGGATAGTGTAGGAAATAACCAAACCAATACGCTCACATTAGGTTGATATGGGCTTGACAAAGTAAAAATGAAGACTGCAGAGATGCAAAAGGTATGAAAAATGTTTTCAATTGTTGCAGATAAGATGGCAATCGGATATTCCTACTCCGTGGGCCAACTCGACAACTCCTAAGTGGTATCGGCCTACCTTTCATTTCGTTATTAAATGTTGGTAGAAGAGATTCGCGCAAATATGATCTCTTCTCACCATACTGAGGCCCTGGTATATTCGTTCTGAGCTTTCGTCTATCCTATGAAAGGCATCGTTATAAGCAGAAGACAGAGTTTACAGACAAAATTTCATCAAAACACCGAACCAAAAAAAGAGCCGACTGGAATCCTACTTGCTTCTTATCCCAAATTTAACGATAATAGTGAGGCGAGTACATTAAGGGCGAGCAGGTGGGTAGAATTGATGGTTAAAAAGGATACGAATGTGACCAATGCTGCATCCTCTCATAAGCTAACTACTATTTTATCCTCTCAGGTTGACGCATATTTTAGGTCTGCGGTTGCATGCTTCTTGTGGTAATGTACTACCCTTGTGTCATTCGACAAGTTAAAGACTAAATCAGACTACAGGTTGGTCCTGTCTTCTCCTCTTACTCTGCTGCTCTTCCTGCTCTCTCTCCCTTTCTCTGATTCTATCCTACCTACCTTCCTACTATTTAGGATGCTGAATATTTTATTCATTTCAATCGACTCCCTAATCTCCCGCTTTGCCGTAAAGTCTCCATATCCGAGTTTTTATTGACTCTTAGCTTGATTTTTGCTATAAAGAGGATACCTTGGTCTGATGATGTTCGTCATATGACGGACGAAAGCTTAGCACCTTTTCACCGGAATCGAAGAAGATTAACTCGGCAACAACGTCAGCATGAATGTTCCAGTAAAGCCAATAGACAGCTGGTCGAGAGGAATCCGCCATCGTCTTTTGGTGGAACCGACCTTCGAATCTCTTCACCCAACACTTTCACTCGAAATGGAAGTA